TTTATTAAATAATTCCTAATAATTTATTTCACAATCTCAAGTGTTTAGTAAAGCTATTATTTGATTTTATTTAGTATTATTTACTAAATAATTTAGGTCTAACATGGTTTATTATAGAGTGGCCTATATCATTAAGTAGCTCATTTTCATCTCAATTTATACTTTCAAATCTATATTATTCAACAATAATTAAATCAATTAATTAAAACTATTAAGAATCTAATAATTTAGGATCTATTATATTATTTTGATAGATTCTTATATTATATTCTGTCTTTTCGTATTTACTACAATATCAATTAGAAGATACTTCCTTATTAGAATTCCTCTCTTTTTAATATTCATTATATTGAATCTAAATATCAACCTTTTACTAAAATAATATATCAAAAGCCTTTTATTTAATAAACACTTCTCCTTAATATAATTAAAAAAAAATTATATATCAATATTTACTTAATATCTTATTTACTATTCAAAATATATCATTCTCTACACTTAAAAGTATAATCTTATAAGCTAATCTCTTGTTACGGGAGCTGCCTCTAGGGTCACGTGGAAGTGTCTAGAGATCTCTCGAGGTGGTTTAGACTAGACTTCAAGTAGGAATTCAATAAGGTTGTAACTGGTTGCAATTCTCGTAACTATAGTAATGAAACTAATGATTGTTCTTGAGCACGAAGCTCTACATGTAAAGAAACCCTTTCCCTTATATAGACCTTTGCACTCTGCGATCCCATCGATCCCACTCACTGAGAGTAGTGGGCGTAGTGGGATCCCACTGATCCCATTGATAATAATCGGTGGGACTGATGGGATGGTCCATCACGTGATACTAGTCCCGTGAGTCTTGTCGTCCTGTCTTATTTCCTGTCCTAGGGCTAATCCCTTGGGAGCTTACTAATCCTAGCAAGACCTCTCTTGCTTACTGTGTCCTGTATTGCTTATTCTTCTTAGGACCCTACTGTCCTAGGAACCATGTCCTATGATTCAGTGTATTCTATAACTAATACTATATACATGCCTGAGGCTTTCCTTGGGTGCCTAGTGTCCCCCGGTATACTGCAGCTGAATCACTGAGGCCTATAATACCATTATAGCCTATAAGTCAGTGATTCTACAGCCTGTTACTAATCCGTTGTAACATCTCTTTATACCCTTAACTAAAACTAATACAATTTCGAATATAAATATAAAAGAGCTTAATTAATAACAAGTTATTCAAGATTTAATTAATATTAATTGAAAAAGAGTTTTTATTAAGTTATAAAGGGTTTAAGAGATTTATTGATTTAAATCGAAAAAGGAAAGATTAAATATATAAATTTAAATATCTAATTTCGAGAATACAGTTTCAGAATTAAATAAGATTAAACCTGTTCTTTGGAATCTTGATTTCATATTCTAAAAAATAATTAATTTCTTATATACAACTTTAAAAGCTATAAAGAATTCAACCTTTAAAATATAATTAATATATACTTTAATAAATCCATCAATTTGATTATTATATGAACATTTTAGATTACTAAAACAGTTAATATTAAGTGATTGAATTAAATGATTTAAATATAATAGTAAATATAAATATATAATATTATTCTCTTTATAGTATATTTAAAAAGCTATTAATTTATAACTTTTATATTTATTTAGTATTAATATTCGATATTTACTCTTTCTTTGATTTTTAGTATACTTATTGAAGTGTTTCAATCATTCTAAATTTGTCTCATTATTTGTTCACTTATTAGATATAGGTTTAATAGCTCATTCTATAGGAAGATTCATTTTGATATACTAATTAAAAAGATAAACTTATTCTTGAATTATTAGAAATAAGAGAATAATTTCACCCTTTTCATTTCCGTATATTATTATTATAGTTCATTCTCAATTATCTGATTATATTATCTTGCTTCTATCATTTTGTTTAATATTAGTTATTGTTCACAATAAAGGAGCAGGCCAGTGGAATGCATGTATTATTGACTATGTAGATTAATTGTACTAAGGTAAAATCTAACTACGAAGTGGAAGTGATATATGCACAGTAGCTTAGAGCACGTGCCACAACTTCCAACAGTTATTATTATTATTACATATATAATCCCTATTATAAAGCCTGTTTCATCAAAATTATAGAAATCTTTATTCAAAATATTATATTTCGTTTATATATTTACAACTAATCAAAACCACTCTTCAAAAAGCTTAGAATCCTTATAAAAAACTCTTTGAAAATTATAAATATAATTAAAATACATCTTTAATTCAATTCAACATTATATAAATTAATACACTTAAAACTTCTCAATATATTTTGTACCCCTCGATTTGAGAATATTATTCGTTATATCTTCTATATTCTTTAATTTAAATAGAAATCCTTTTAAATCTATATCAAATATATATTAAACAATCACCTCTTCTTTTAATTCTATAATCTTATAACAATTCACTTAAGTTTTTATACAAAAAAGTAAACCTTCCATTTTATATCGAAAAATTGTACAAAAAATATTATAAAATATAACAACCTTTCAAATACTTAATTTTTTATCTTTATAAATAGCTTTAATAACAAAGAGTATACAAGCTTCTTAATTATTCGAATTTATTATAGATTATTGATAAAATATATATTGAAAAAGACAGATATAAATTGAAATGAAAATGAACCACTTGATAATATAGGCTACTCGATAATAAACCACGTTAATAATTCGAAATAATTTAAAATAAGTGATCCGAACGCACCCTAAGTCTCAGTACTCTTTCATATAAATTTTCCTTAATCACAACTCTTCTTTCTCGACGTCTCCAGGTCATATCTTCATCACAATTAGATATCATTTCACGTGAATCTCAACAGATCTATCGCTTGCTCGCTTTACATTCATTATTCAACATCATCCAGTTAATCAAAGCTACAAGGCCTGCCCAATCTGTGTATTCGCTTTACTAGACCACTCCACAGTCCCTTGAGACTCGAGAAAATAAGAAAATGAAGAATAATAGAAGTTGACATCTAATTACAGATTGGCTTACTTAACTACTCTTCTCCTCGAAGATCTACATCCCATTACACTGCAAAACATCCCATACAACAATATAACAATATGCCATATGAACTCCACGAAATATCACGCGCTCCAAAATCCTATCTCTTAAATTTCGCCTCTTTTAGATTCCTAGATACCTAATCTATGTGTATAAACCCCAATCCCATGGATTATCGACATCCAGAGATGCATACATCAAATCGTGTATACATATTTATGGACATGGGGAATCTCTATCTCAGACGTTCAAGACACAAACTTTATCCCCTTGCTTGTTCTCGTGCAGTATATGTATGTATGAGAATTCACGCATATATTAGGGTGTATTGATCATGTCCCTTCCATAAGTATACCAAAAAGTTTATAAAGCAAAGTGCAATTCCCAAATTTGGCAATGTGATACCGATGGCTATGGTAAGAAGGGGGTAGCGAACTGTTGACTAGGTAAGCACCAGAAACAAAAAGATAATTCTATCTCAATCTCAAGACAGCAAATTAATGTATTATGGGATGAGTCGTGTTCGTGGTATCATGGCTATAAGTAAAGCGTCAAGTGGAGATTCTTTTTTCTACTTCCCAGAGCATTCTTCCCCTTCACCCTCTTTCCACACGCTTTTTCTCCGAATCCCTCATCGCGAGGAAGAATCCTGTAGGAACTGGCTTCCTTCAAATTCTCACTCCTCTGCACAATTATCACCCTCCCCATTTTCATCCCTCTCATCACAAATTCACAATCGAGCACATCGTTGAGAATTCAACAAGGTCTTAGACGATGAAAAATGGTATTGTAAAAGCAAAAACCGCAAGACAAATGGTTCTTCATATTATTTCAGCTGCGTATTGCGGACGTAACGTTTGATGTATTCCACAAATCTATCAGTCAAGTAGATGAACCCGTATCAAAAGTTTGACCGTTCCTTTTTGGCGACAAGAAGATTCAGGAATTGGAATGTTGAATGGAAATGACGTGCCAACGTTTCTCTGCGTTGATTTCTATGGCTACTAATTTCTCCTATCTCTCACATGTCGAGATGGAAGAGAAATCAAGCAGATAACTTCGAATGTACTGAACATCAAATGCTAATGTATGCTGGGTAGGCGGATAATGCAGTCGAATGTACCCGGCATGACTAGAAGGTCCAGTTATGAGGGACAATTATGATACCATCCAAGAAAAAGCGAAGAATTCAATTGTCATTGAGCAGCACCTCTATTAGCAATTGGGGTTAAATTGTCAGATATGATAATCATACATATTAGCAATGCTCTCACAAGAACCAAACTCCCTCCACTTCAATTATGACAAATTTTGCTGATAGCTTCAATCACAACCAGAAGACACTCGCCATTCTATTGCATCAAGAATCGTGATAGAAGAGGCATCCAAATAATATCCCCTACAAAAATGTCAGACCCGTATCTGTGCTCCAACGAGATGCTCTAACGTCACAGCTCATCAGAAGGCCAGTGTAAATATCATTCTCCGGCTTGTCCTGCTAAATGGGTTAATGAAAACCATCAAGAAAGCAATCTGACTCCTCGAACAAATGTATCACTTGGAAGTGTGGTCCGAGAAGTTTCGAAAAGCCGGTATGGAACGCGAAAGGTGCTACATGTTAAGAGAAATATCCGGTCCACACACTGTCATTATCACCGTCACCAAAAAAGAAGATGAGTTTGTTGGATGTGGAATGTATCGTCGATTCGTAATCACAGATGTGAAGTGACTATTTCAGCATATGATGGCCATAAAGCTCATTCTTCCTTCACTTGATGTACGTCCTCCATTTCTTCAATCCCCATCCTTCCCAGGTATCCCAACCAGAAAAATTGCCAAATCTATTCAAACCAATCAGTCCCGAATTCAAACAATTGTCATATCGGAATCGTATCGAATCGAGGGAAATCCTACCGAACCAACCGAATAGTGCGAATTTATCTTTGGGATTGACCGCTCCAGACGTTCTTCAACAAACCATCACGTTGAGCCAATCGGTTCAAAGAATCATCGGACTCTCCCATAGCTCTGATGAAACCGCAAAGGGCGTAAACTTGGTTCTCGCCAGTAGCGCGTCCGTTCTCGTCAACCTTTGCGATGGAGATTTGGACGGATCCGTGGTCCTTGGCCTTGATGATACGGTTGGTGGCGCTGCACTTACGTGGAACGTAACTGTATGAAGAATTAAAGATTAGAATCCATTTTCAAGACCTTCCAACGCAATAACTGTGAGCGCATATCGTAAAATTGGTAAAAACGTACAGATCAACGAGTTCTCCCTTGTCGTTTTCCATTTTTGCGACTTGTTGGTTGGTGAGAAGAAGAAAGGTTTAGGGATTTCTTGAATTGGCGTTGATGTCGTCGAGGTTGAATGAAATTGGAATTTGATCGTGGGGCTTGGAAAATGAGGGTTTATGGTAAGCGAGAGATTTTTTGAATTGGTGCCATATATTCAAGGTTATTATGGCTGATGCAATGTGGCTCATTGATTATGGGCTTAGATCGATCGACATGTGACTTGGCGCACTTTTCGAGTCAGGTTTCAAACTAGTGGCGTGAATTGCTTAGTCGTATTCGTAAACAAAGATCGAGGTTCTGTGGAGTGAAGATTGCGCCCACCAACGATTATCAATATTTTCACCTTATGTTCATATGAAAGTTTCAATTAGCCGTGTTGCGCCTTCTGCTTTCAGGACATCGCGCCTGGCGCAAAGTCCCTTCATGTAACGGTATCAATATGGCTACTACAGATGTCTTCATTATTTCCTCTTCGCCGCCACGACAATCGGTGTCTTACAATGTATCTTCACCACCTTTACCTTCTTTAGATGAAATGATTAAGCAAAAGAGCGCGCCCAACCTTCAAAGAGGTAGTGGTGCTGCATCTATTCCTCTAGACGCGACAGCCACTTTCACGAGCGCGTCAGCTTTATTGCGAAGAGGTTCCTCTGGATCTTTGCAAGGATTCGATACCGCTCGATCACTAGCGATGACCATGAAACATGATGAAATTGAACAAAAGAAGACCGCGAAGCCTAAAGCTCCACGAAAACCCGCTGCGAAGAAGGAAGACGGGACAATTGCGAAAGTGACAAAGGCACCCCGCAAGACTACAAAGAAGAAGGTTGAGGATGGAACAGAGGGAGTTGTGGAAGCAATTGTGGAAGAGGGAGAAGATGGTACGAAGACAACTCCGGAAAAGAAACCGCGAAAATCTAGAGCTAAGAAAGCGGATAATCTTGGAGAAGGAGAGGATGAGGGTAATGCGGCTGCAACTGTGCCAAACTCTCCAAAGGCAGCAGTGGAGAAGAAAGCGCGCAAACCGAGAGCTAAGAAAGCTGATGTTGTTACCTGTGATGGGGCGAAGGAGAAAGCCCCGCGCAAGCCAAGGGCGAAGAAGACCGACGTTGAAGCTGGAAGTGAATCCGTGACAAAAGAGAAAGCAGTAAGGAAACCACGAGCTAAGAAAACGGACGGGGGCATAACTGTACAACCTAAGATGGCTAAGGGTAGAGTGACCAAGACCACCAATGCCTCCAATCTGGACAAGATCGAAACTCCTAAAGCTGATAAAGTCAGCAAGCATTTTGCATCTAATCCCGTCGTCGAAGATATCCTTGCAGAGGAAGGCTTTGGTTTAGCTGAGGCGGTCAAGAGAAAAAAGAATTGGACTCCACCGAAACCGAACAATGTGCTAGTTGACTATGACGATAGTACAGAAGCTGGCGGCTCGAGCTCCAATCAAGGATTTACAGAATTATTGGGAAGTTTTGGTTTCAGCAGTAGTGAGGCAAATAGTTTTGAGAAGAGGATATCTTCAGGTGTACCTAATGGAGCTGCTGCAACAAGGAAACGGAAACTAATCGAGATGGTTAACACCAATATTCCTACATCACTTGGTACAAAAGCTACAAAGGAGAAAGCTGTGAAGAAAAAGGCTAGAACTCTCACGGACCTTGCAACTTCTGCTTATGCAACAACAGAAGATAATGATACCACTAGCAATGCGCCTGCGCCGTTACTTCAATACTTCCCGAATGCAGCCTCTGGAGAACTCACAGATGATGGCTTCAAAATACCCCCAAAACCAAGGTCAAAGAGTCCAGTGAAAGGATTATCGAAATCAAAGAAGGGCTCCGCAGAAGAACCGATTCTTCTCTCCCCAGAATCTGCGCTTAAGCAAGTTAGTAACCAAGATTTTGTATTTGGAACTTCAAGTCAATTAGCTAGAGAGGATTCACCTTCGTTATTACGCGACCTGCATGATGCTATGCAAGCATCGAATGAATTGGATGATTACGACGATCCTTTTGTTTCACCACCGACGAAGATAGCCGAAAGAGCCAAAGCTGTAATAGCTGCGAAGCGAAATCTTTGGTCCATTGCAGCGCGTGATGATCGTGGGGATCTGATGGATATCGAGACGATAGACTTGGCACACACACCTGTTGCAAAGCCGGACAGAATAATACTTTCTCAGAACCCTTCATCATCATGGATCACTCCTGCCAAGAAAGAGTGGTTCGATATTGATGAAATTGAAGATAATCGACCACCTTCCACTCAAGTTCCAGTGAGGCAAATGGGACCGATTGAGATGGCCATCAATTCGGAGCTGTCGGAGAGCCCTCTTCAACCTAAGAATTGTTCTAAGGATATATCTACTTCTTCTCCACGAAAGAAAAATACCAAGGCTTCCGTCATCAAAAGTACACCTAAAAAAACTACCGCCGCTAAGATGCCTGACTACGAATCTTTTACCACGCCACAACTATCCAGAGAAATTCAGAAATACAAGTTCAAACAAATCAAAAGTCGTAAAAAGATGATTGATCTGTTGGTTCAGTGTTTTGAGAGTCAGAACCGTCCGGCCTTAGGTGTCCTGCAGGGTAACATGCCAATCACGTCTCGGGGGCCATCGGAAATCTCTAAAACTACAGCCAGCTCATCCACTCAACTCGAACCTGCCACTTCCTCTCAAATAGGTCGTGGAAGATCGACCAAATATACTACAGCTACGAAATCGAAGGCGAAGCCAAAGCCAAAGATCACAGGTTCAATAGCAATTCCGGAAATGGACAGTGATGTCCCCATCTCCGAGCTTCGTACACCCAAAAAGTCGAAGAAGGGAAAACAACCCATCGAAGATGTCTCCGATTCTGATTACCCTATGACACCTTCACCACCACGAAGATCTCCATCTCAAATTCGAAAAGCTGCCAAAGCTCTGAAATTATCTCCTGCTAAAAACGATCAAGATGATGAGGCTCAACAAGCACAACTTTTCACTCACATTTATACTGCAATTACTAGTGCACCGCCGTCACAAGACCTCTCGAATCCAAGCTGGCATGAAAAAATACTACTTTACGATCCTATTGTATTGGAGGATTTAGCATCATGGCTGAATACGGGAGCATTGGGTAAAGTTGGTTGGGATGGGGAGGTGGCTCCGAAAGAGGTTAAGAAATGGTGTGAAAGTAAGAGTATTTGTTGTTTATGGAAGGAAAATCAGGGCGGTGGGGCGAGGAGTAGATATTGATTATGGATATAAAGTTGTTGTTGTGGCTTAGTCAGTTGGCCTTTGCTGTTTAATGTTTAGATACCCTATCTTGTATAAATATCATTCTGAGCTCATGAGTTTGCTAGGTATGCAAGTGCGCTCGTCTACTATGATAATGGCTAAAGAGATCAGTTTTTTCTCATTTTATTTCACCGTTCTGGAATGCTCATGTGTCTTCCGAACATTGGTGGATTTAATAGTGTTGACAAATTCGATATTTCAAATTGGTGGAAGAATACCAAGGTCTCAAGAAAGAATCAGAATAGCTTTCAGTGTTGCGATTAAATTCAAACTTTGCTAGCGTCAAAAGTTAATAGTGTAGTCCAAACATCTCAGGGGGAGAAGATGGGGTTTCGCAAAACCCCTTCGCCTGAAAACCCCCTGTCAAAACAGGAGCTTATTGGGAATCTCACACATCAACTGTCTCTAATAGTCGTGCCAGTGTAACATTCTATTTCCATTTCATCCTAACTCTTAAAGTTCATCGCCAAGGTGATGCGAGTGGTTTTCTATGAGAGAATTTTGACTGGTGCATTCATGCTCGCTTGGCTAAAGCAGTCCGATGTCTCGGATGAATTTACCTTGATAGTTCATCTAATAGTTTTCGTCTGTTGGTGAAATAAGACGATGTGAAGTGATCATGCAATGATTTTGTTATAAGTTCACTTCTTTCTTTCACTACTATTTCCATTTTTCCATTGCGTTTCCATCTCACTTATTGTTCTATTCCAACTATCCATACATTCTTTTCAGCTGTGCTGTAGATTGTTTCGCTTCTAAACTCTATTCATTCAATCTTTACTTTTATCCCTATATCTATATACATAAAATTACTTCGAGGCCAGCCTTCAATATTTAATAAATACTAAAAATGCAATTCTCGAACCTTGCAATCCTTTTTTCGCTCTCAGTAGCAACTCTCGCAGCACCAATCGATACAGTCATACGTGCTGCCACAAAAGCCACAAGTGCTAATGTTCTTACCGCGGGAGACTACAGTACTTTCCAAGTCTCTGACGGTGTAGCCGGAGATGCTCTAGCGGAAGTTAATGCCAAATTTCCTGTATGCACCCCCCTCTCCCCCCCGGATTTTCTCTTGTCCATTCCCGTCTTCAAAAATCCTAGTTCCTAACAAGCCCCTAGATCGACACCTCAAACTTCGCCGGTGTCTCCGCTGCTGATCTAGCTATAATAACCAAAGCTGCTAAGATTTCCGAGGATGCTGAAGTAAGCACTGGTGGTTTCAACGATGCGATTGATGCTGCAGGTGGAGCGAGTTCTACTGCTGGTGCTACGTTGCAGGTTGGGAAGGTCAAGAATAAGGTTTTGAAATTACAGACGGATGTGTTGAGGATTCAGATCCAGACGGCACAGGGAAATGCTGGGAGTGAGTTGCTCTCTTTTCATGTTTTGGGGGGTAGAGAATAGGTTTGAAGGATTATGCTAATGATTAATTAGGCGCGACTGAACTTGCAACACAGCAAAAGAAGTTGGCGACGAATGTTGCGTTGGATGTTGCGCAAGCGGGGAAGACTAGCCAGAGTATTAGTTTCTCGGGGACAGATTAAGTCAGGGTGTGTGAAGGGTACTGTTGGAAATAAAAATACGCATTTAACTAGTGTTGGATTTGATTTAAAAAGAGGAACAAGAATGAATAATATTGAAGCACTGGATTTTTCATCTTCTCGACCGAGTATAAAAACTTTCAATTGTTTTCAAAGCCTAGACTAGTCGTGAGCGAACACCGACAGTGTGACTCCGAACACAGGTGAGATTTCATTGAGATGCATCGATATGGAATTTGATATTAAAGATAAACACTAAGCATACTTCGATAGGCAACAAAATCCAATGAGTCTCATCTTGCAAATATCGAGTGAAGACTCATTAGTCCAGTAGAAGTGTAGCACACTATTCATATCCATAGAATAACCCATCACCAAAATCTAAGCTCCTCCTGAGTTCGCGATAATGTGGTTCAAATTTTCACCTTCGAATGTTCAATCGCCGATAGCCATCATCTCTTGTCTCCCATTCAACGCCAGTCTTTAGTGGAACATAATTCCTTTTCCTTTCCACTAAGCTGGTAGTTTTTGATGCGAAAGCTCGTATCGAGTGCACATTTCCGAAGGAAGACGTGGTTCATATTCTCATTTAACCTGTATTCGAACGTGGCCCCTAGAGCCAATCTACATGCTTTTATCAGCTGCTTTATGGGGCCTTCTGGAAGACCAATGTTCACAAATAATGACAGGCCCCAGCCCGGTAAACTTGCTCTAGGTATCTCCAGGGACTTCTCTGGCAGAATTGATCGTCCCAAAGCTGATGTTCTGAATAGAGCTCGTCTGCTGCAAAGATACATGACTGGCAGATCTTGTTGCGATGGAGTGATTTTTGAATACAAAAGTGTTGCAACTCCAGCCAGACTGACCAATGTGTTTGGTTTCATGGTAAACTGTCGGTTCGCTAGCCAAAGACGGGTGACGGGATATTGCTCTTGGTAAAAATACCACCTCTGGTCCATTGCTCGAGCGGATGTGATTTTGCTCGAGCTAGCGGTGTTCATGAGCTTGATAATCTACCATGACTTACTGAGGAGTAGGTACGAGTAGATTAAAATTTGATTACGAACTTCTGGTGGGAGGCAAAAAAATGTGTCCCGTTTGTCGTACTGTCGCAATCTATTCTAGTATCAGTAGCTAATCCTCACAAGGTGGCATGGGCTTCACACAGTCTTTGCGGAACAGGGGTCAGTCCTATTTGAATTTTTGAACGATTGGAATCATCTTCCTCAGTCATAAGATCCCTCTCTACGCCCCAAGATACAGGTGGGCTCTGTCTTCCCTTGGAAAAATCTATTGGAAATGGTGAGGACCGAAGAACATTGTTCGAACAGATGACACCTTGAACTCTCTCATCTCTGCGAGTTCGACTTGTATAATAAACCAGGGATTGATCGAAGCTGCGGTACGACGGGTGGAGGCGTCCTGGTAGATATTTAAATTAGTCTCAAGCTGCGCAACTACATGAATAATGAAGTAATCTGGCTCAAACATCACGATTCAATATAATAGTGAACAATTGACAATCATTGGATTGAAGTAAGGAGTAACTAGCAATGGAGTTGGATTGACTCGGCCATCACATGCCAAGGGTATGTGAATTGTGTGCAGCCTCCCGGCACGTTGTACTCTAATCAGTACTCTTCACCTCTTGCGTCTAATTTATTTCAAACGAGGAAGCAAACTTGCGTGTTGATGTTACACAACTATACTCTTGGCATGTGATGGCCAGGCTGCAACATGTAGTATGCCGAAGAGCTAACACATTTCCGATTCGAACACCTTTTCAATCCTCATCTGATTCAGACGTGAATTAGATTTACTCTTGTGTGGGATACTGAACGAAGCAGCCTCAAGTTTACCGTTGGACGAGTCATTCCAGCCGATAATTCAGTTAGTATATTATTCTACGCTGCCATTTTTGTGAAGTCAAGCTTACTATGTAAGTCGAGAGTGTTTGTTGTTTCGGTTTCGACGCGAAATCTCCTAAAAACCTTACATCTAATGTTAAAAGCTTACCATATCGAAGCCCTGCTTTAATTCGATCATTAACACATCGACCTCGATGATATCTATCGGCAATCATGAAGACTAGTTCCACAGGACCACCCAACCAAGGGGTCAGAGAGAAAAGTTATACAGATTTAGCATCAAATGCTGTTTTCATGTCCTATCACTCCTATTTATCTGCAATTAGAAGCACTAGTCTCACGGAAGTACCCAGTCAACGGATTGGAGAGACAAGATGTACAGATTTAGCATCAGGAAAAGTGTTTACGGTTCTACCACCAGGCTTGACAGCTACTGGAAGAGCGAGTAAGTGACGAGAATGGTCATTATTGGGTACATTCACCCGAGAAGCCGATGGAGAGGATGAACGTTTTGGTAAGAGAGAGCTAAAGCAAAAACGGGGGCGGGGCCGAGGGCGAAAAGCTGGCCTTTCTGTGGAACTCAAGCCAGTGTAAGGAATAAATGTCTTTGCCTTTGGTATTACTTACTGATGCGAGAATATATAGCATACCAAACAATCAAACGTTCTCGCCCTTCCTACGCTTACCACCTGAGATTCGAACTCAAATCTATGACCTACTATCTCCTCCCTCCCAGGCCATTAGGGTGCTCTATCACCATTTTCAGCGCGATGTTGAAGTACGTAATGGTATACGTTACAGAAAGTACACCAAAGGAGGTCTGGCCTACTACAAAAATCTCTCAGTGACTTGTCTTTGGCGAGTATGTCGACAGATATACCAAGAGAAAAGATATAATATGCACGATCAAAATACTTTCGTATTTCATAATATGGATGCCATGCAAAGGGTATTAAACACCTTATCAATGACGCAGAGGAATGACATCAAACGCGTTTGCTTGACGTCTTTTTCTAATGCTCACGACATGTGTGAGACTTTGTTGAAAAGATTTCATGGGCTTGAGACTATAATCGCCTTAGTGTGTGATGGTTTTACTTGGCCAGCCTATATGGATCCGGTCTTCAGCTTGCTTGAGGAGCAGAAACAGCGGAGCCTGATGGGAAAGAACAAGATAGCAATTGAGTATCAGCTGCTCACTCAAACTCAGAGCCATCCGGCCGTCGACTACTATCCATTTACTTTGATAAATTGACGCAATGTCGCGTTCAGTAGGGAGATTGGTCTGGGCGAGACCGACGACAGTCCCGGGGTATGAGGAGCTGGAACTTTTCGATATGTGCAATCTGGGGTTTCAAAACATGGAAAGAAGTTGACAGGCGCAAGACGGATCATATCAACCTCTCAGCTCACTCGTAAGGTTCTCGGGAGAGGGAATGTTTACTTTCACAACACTGGTATCAAGATACCTGCACATGGTTCTGTTTCACTGCAAAGGCGTAGTTCTTGCTTACCCAGATATTAGGTATCTTTGTACATGCGAATATCTTATGATTTATCTGCTGGGTTGCTATTCAAGCTTCTTACGTTGAATACAAACAGTCATGACCAGATTGATATCTCCCATCCTGTCCCGGCTTCCTTGATATTCCATGTTGATCGCCCGTTCTCAATATCTCGAATCCTTTAACCATCAAGGTGCGGGCAGTACTTGCAGAGTTTTCCCGCATTACTTTTTAGTGTCTGATATACGAGTGAATTTTATGAAAGGAAACAACTGACACATATGAGGTGAGAAAGTGAAGCGGCGATGCAGCGACAGCATGGCCCACTCCACGAAACTTGGCAGCCAATCATATAAACAACCTCAATCGTTTGATATATGCGCATGCAAAAACCTCTTGGTATGGCTACTAGTGATGAAAAACCGCTGTGAGAAATCACCATATGACCGAATACCTTATGATACTTGATGGAGGGGCGATGGTAACGAGATAACGATCAGTCAACGACGACGACATGAAACAAGCCAATTAAGGAATTAATAACTCGAGTGATTCCATTGTGCGTGCAGAGATTTCTACCTTGAGGGTCTTGAACGTGACCAAAAGATTGCGCCAGCGAGGTGGATATATGGGAAACCCCGCTCGCGAGAGGTAGGAAATGAGATAAGGACGACGACGACAGATTCAGTTTTCCTTCCCAACGAGTTTTCAAGCCAATGAGATAATTTTGATAAGTTTGAAAGAATTGTGTGCGTGAAAAACTTTTCTCCCTCAGAAAATTCCCGGATGATTGCGCCATTGAAGTGAATATCGTCGGCGACTCACAGGGCTCAGGTCAAGGAAGACTTGACGATTCCTCCATTATTACTGGCTAGAAATCAAGAATAAGTGAATTCACATTTCAATAGAACGGGAAAGAACTTACCAGTCTACTACGTTTGTCCATTCGAGCAGGAACGAAGTGTCTACTTAAGAGACTGGTCTCCCCGATTTTTCAATCTTTCTTCTTCTTTCTTACACAACGAACCAACCTCCCAAATCGATTGGGAAATCATGGTTACACACACACACATTTTATCATACTCTTGGTAAGTCGGTCCTTTCTTTCAACCATTTCATTGCTTTACCTTGTTCAAAACCATAACTCTTTCATAATTCTTCCCCTTCTTCAGAAAAGCTCACATATTAATTGCTCATCACCACTACAGACATTTATTTCGCAACCATCAAAATGTCCGGTGACGAATTTCAACAGGTAAGATCATCTTCCCTATTACCTGTCAACCATTCACCCATATGCCATCCCCTTCAGTCCATGATCTCGGGTCATGGAGCGTCTAAAACTGGGGGCGGTCACAGCTGCTTCCTTCCTAGCTCTTTTTGGTCCATCTCTCTCTTCTACCTCGATTCTCAGGTATTGGGGACTTGGTTGGAGTGTAGCCAGGCATGTTCGTCCTCTAGATACCCATTGTGGTTGGGTCTAAACCAGCGTACTCTCGTATGGGGGGGACTTCCTTGGCCAACGCAGACTGTAGTCAGTTACGCATGATTGGGGATAACTATCAGATTACGAGAACTAGTGATACTCGCTCGGCGGAAACGTCATATAGCGATCTGGCCCGGCACTCGAGCTGTGAATCTCGAGTGGTAGCTTTACATCTTTACGGTGCGCTTTTGCGGGGTACCGGGGCACCAAACTCTCATTGTTCTACTGAAATGATGACTTGGCCACATACAGTTTGGTTGACAGGATGGTGGTCTTACTCAGCCATGGCACATTGGCTGACTTTTATTTCTTACTTTAGATTCATCGAACTTTGAGGCCTCCCCGAGGCAATCGTCGGCTTGGTTTTGAGGTCGACGACTCTGCAGTGGCTACCGTGTAAGTTCGTCTGCATCCATCATACTGGTTACCGTATCACTAACAAAATCTTAGGGCTCCCAATGGAATTACTGTCGGTGTCGTCACTGCACATGCTTCTATGGTAAATGTAGAGGCTGCGGCCGAGAAGAGTGTTTTCAAGTCGAAGGTTCACAAAGTACGTATGCTTCCACCACTTCCCAAGCTATCCAGCAGTCTGAGCTGGCGGGATAGTCATGAGGTTTCAATATGTGAGAACCACGCAATTTTCAAAATGGTTTTACCATTTAAGTGATATCCGCGTGTTTCAGTGGCGACGCGTCGCTGTAAATCTTTTGACTGGACCAACCACTTTGCCAAAAGCCATCTTCATAGTGTTTCACAATATCTCTTCTTCAATGTTTCTCTACATAGATCTTCTGACTTAGATTCACATCCTTATTGGTATCTTTGCCTACTCTCTATGCACCCGCGCAGCAATGATTTTCGATTATTACACTGAGCAAGGCGATATGGCTATAGCTGGAGCTATTTGGGCTGGGATGTTTATGTTGTTTATGTTGACGATGCGGTATCTAGTAAAGTAGGATATGAATAATTGATAACATTTCCACCCGCATCTTCTGTCTATCATAGATACTACAGTCCAGTAAATGGAATTGTAACTTCTGAACAAATTATAAAATGTGATATGCACTTGACATATTTACTATGATGCGTTGTGTTTACTGTAACATTGTGTAGTCTAGTCTTCATGGACTTTGGGGTTCTGCACAATACTAGTAAAGACTATGTTACCATGTTAGACTTCAACAGCACCAAGATGATGATCACTTCACCTGCGGGCACACAACGAGCCACAATCCATAGTAAAACAAAGTAGTTATCAAAATTTATATCTCATCTGTTCTCTCACATCGAATCCACAATCCAAAAAGATCAAAAATGAGCACAGAAGAAGCAACTCGCACCCCCTCTAATCAGCAGTTCCACTCTTCCCACTGGCATTTCTGCTCGCCGTCTCCTTCTCCACAAACTTCAATGGTCTGTATACTGGATCCCACATTTGTTCTCTAATCCACTCTTCTAAATCTTCATCTTCTGTTGGAATACCCTTTTCCTGTGCCAGACCTTCCTCTACCGAAGTTTTGATTACCTCTTTCGCAATACGTACGCTGATTTCGCGTACATCGGCAACATCAGGTAACAATCCCTTGTCTGGATTCTTTAATGCCGGACTTTGCGCAGCTAGTGCTTTGACGGCCGAGACTAGCATTTTATCACTCAGTAACTTTGTGCGGGAGAGAACGCATCCGAGACCGATACCGGGGAAACAGGTCGAGTTGTTGCATTCTGCGACTTCGTATTCGTGGCCTTCGTATTTGACGGGCGGGAAGGGTGAGCCGGTGGCTATCAATGCTTTGCCTTTGGTCCATTCGTTGATATCTTTTGGATCGGCCTCGTGGAGACGGGTGGGGTTGCTGAGGGGGAAAACGATAGGTCGGTCGACGTGGGCGGCCATTTCTTGGATGATTTCTTTGGTGAAGGATTTGGGTTTTGTGGAGGTACCGATCAAGACGTGTGGTTTGACTTCTTTGATGACTTGGAGAAGATCTTCGTGGTCTTTGTCTTCCCAATCGGAATCTTCTCGTGCGTACGGGATTTGTGCGTGGGTAAGTTTGTCACCGTGGGATTTCAGAAGGAGACCGGGCTTGTCCACACAGTAGATTTGCTTGGCGGCTTCTTCCTTAGATTTTCCACTATCTGCTGCAATGGCATCGCGAATCTGATCGGCAATTCCTGTTCCAGCCGTTCCAGAACCAAAAATTACAATTCGTGTGTCTTCGAGCTTGACTTTACTCACGTGAAGACCGGCCATCATTGCTGCTAAGGTGACACATCCAGTTCCTTGGACATCATCATTGAAGCAGGCGATCTCGGGGCGATATCGGTCGAGGATTCTTCGGGCTGTAGATTTGTCAATATCTTCTGCTTCAATAAAGGGTACTCTGCTTACCATTTGGAAGTCCGAAATCCTCGAAATGGATATATGCATTAGGATAGAGTTTTCTGGCATTTTGAACAAACTTGTCGACAAAATCGTCATATTCCTTTCCCCTCGCTCGAGGTTTCTTCAAACCAAGGTGTAGATCATCGTTCAGAAGCTTCTCGTTATCGGTTCCACAATCCAAGACAACTGGAAGTGTACGATTTGGATGAATACCAGCACAGAGTGTGGTGAGAACTAGTTTCGCAACTGAGATCAAGACACCACCGACTCCTTGATCCCCGATTCCGAGAATTTCTTCCCCGTCTATAGAGTGTTAGTTCTGCTGTGAAGAACTTGGTTGTATTTGACATACCAGTAACAACAATATAGTCAATATCTTCTGATCCGCCCCATTGAGCTAAATCGTCATGAATTCGATCGGTATCATCAATAGTCAGAAAACAACCATCAGGTCTCCTGAATATTCTAGAATAGTTCTCAATCGCCTCGCCTTCTGTTGGTGTATATATAATTGAAAACATTTCCCTCATATGATCTTGAATCAACTGATTTGAAGTTAGAACAGATCCTCATCATCATGCCATGCCTTTCACACGTGATCGTCCAAAACGCTCGAGGTATACATCCTCCGAAGAGAGCAGAGCACTTCTGTGTGAGACTGAGGTTGTTGGTGAAAGATGAAGAACCTACTCTGTAATATAGAACCTCATTCTGATCAGCCAATGAAGTCATGAAAGTATTCTTCGCCAAATCATCTGATCTGGAACTATACTGATCATAAGCTCTCTTAACCTGTTGATCCAAAGTCGAGACATTTGATGGCAATAACCCCGTCAACTTGAACTTTTTACGTTCATCTGCTGGGAAGCCTGCACCTTTGTTGAGGTAAGGTGTGTTTAGAAGTGCAGTGCCTGTTAAAGCACATTCTAGAGGACCACTGGTACTGAGAGGTAGATGTCCAAATTTGGGATGTTTTTCATTTGGCTTGGTACGCTTGTGAACAGAGGAGATGTTTCTCTGGAGGGAAGGGTTATCGGAAGACATGATTGATTGCCGTCTTGAAGTTAATGATGTGCTTCGGAGGTAGTTGGTATGTGGGGTTGATGTAAGATTGTTGTACTTGAGAGGATTCAGATTTCGTTTGAAGGCTTGAGCCGTGTAATTAATATCAAGGGTAAGATGGTGATTGAAGAACGGAGCATATATTAAGATTCATCAAATTCACTGGGCTATATATATTTTATGTAGGACAGGAGTAAAGTTCTAATCTACGGGATGACGTTACTTGGCACAAGTTGGAACATTTGAAGTTGTGGATAAGGGAAGAAGTACCGAAGCATTGGAAAGCTTGATTTCATATGGGTTTGTAGATAATATAAGTTAGATGCTTAGTATGGTGCATATGATCTATACTTATCAAAAGGGATGGAGATCATTAAACGTACGTCCAATATAATGTCGTTATGGTCGATATTTTTGGATTTCCCAATTAGCTCTCGGATTCACCTCGTAGCTATTCGTTCCAGAACCCGGATATTGTTTTTCGATTGTGCTTTGATGATTGGAGATGGTACGGTGTGTGGGCTATACCTAGATAATACATCATTTACTCCGATTAGTTTTATAAAATCACTCTTACTATTCTTGTCATTCTATCAATATACATGGAAGGAACTTGGTGTCTAGCGAGGTCGATGTTATTCACTCCTGTGTTGAATCTTTACTATCAACAATCCCCCTCAGTCCATATATCAAAATAGATGATAGTTCGTATCGTAGTAGCTTTAATCACTTCACTTCGCAATCCCGCTGCCGACTTTACCCAATAGAGCATAAGCTTCAATGATTCAGATCCACCCTGCCGCTTCTTCCTATGATTTACCTCATGTCTTGAGAGGGCAGGGCTCAATGTGATCCAATCGCTGTGCACACTGCACGGTTAGAAAGTTCTATAATACATGTCTTACATCCATCCATTAGATGGTAGTTAGCAGGCCTAATAAGTTGGTATCTGAAGCTATTTCCAAATATTTGCTGTATCAACGACTACCTCATAATAGGACTTCTCGGTAAGGGTTCCAGGGGCTCAACGGAACACATGTTGCAAGACATGCTGGAACTACCTATTTGAAAAGCTCGAGAGTGATGTGAAAATTAAGCATTGTAGCCTCTCACTTCAGTAGAAATACTCTGTATAATCTAACATACCATGAAGCTAGAAACAAGCTCCATGAACGTTCTTGATAACCCACAAGATAGAAATTTGCGACTAATTGGGTCCCCAAAACAACATCGGTACAGTAGCAAGGAGGAAAGAAGGCACATTTAACAAACGCATGGGGACCATCTCGTTAATGATCAGTCTAGCAGGTACGCAATGGCAAACAATAGTATTAATTGGTAGTAGGATGTAGGTACGCAAGGAGCCACACTCCTGTAGGGCTCTCATAAAGAGTAGGAGTATGGACTATGAAGGTCCTTTAATTAGTCTTGCAATATATCCTCTTGTGAAGGTATAATCCCGAAAGATCATACCTTATTTCAACCTCCATTCAATCTCGACACAAGACGCGAAGATATTGAAAGGCTCTTCAAAGAAGAGTCTCATCTGTGAGTGCCAATGAAGGCTGAGTGGTTGATCAAGGTATTGCTATCGTTTATGGCATTGTGAGCCGGATGAGAACACGCTCTCTTTCACTCACTGCACCTCGATACTACGCCTGGACTTACCGTGGCCGGTAGTGAAAAGATTTGCTGCTTCGTGGCATGCTATCGAGTAGATATCAGACCTGGACTTGTGCATACTCAATACTTTGAGGTTTCTCGTTGTCATTGAGATGCAATATCTTTGTGTTGAAATTCGGACAATGGGAGAGAAAAAAGTAAAATTTTATTTTTGCGCGCAAAAAGGTCCTAGCTCTAGTCACTCACGTGACTAAGGTTATGGCGCCAATCTCGGATTGGGAAAGCCCATTTGTCGATACACGAAATCTATCAAACCAGCCAGCCGCCAGCTTCATCTTTTCGCAGCTTTCTGAAATCACCTTTCTACTTAATACTAAGCCTTGCATTTTATCATTAATTCTCTTTTTAAAGATAATCCTCATTCAGCACCTCTCGTATTCAATCAAGACAATGGTTGGGAAAAAGAAGCGCGGTCATCCCGATATCGAGGAATTACTGGCTCGCCCTTGGTGCTATTATTGTAAGTATCGCCACTATTCCCATCATCGCACAATCGCCATCTAACAATTCTGCCATCACAGGTGAACGCGATTTCGATGATTTGAAGATTCTCATCTCCCATCAAAAAGCCAAGCATTTCAAATGCGAACGATGTGGTCGACGATTGAACACTGCTGGAGGTATGTCATCTATGGTCTGAACAGATATCACCCAATTCAAGCTAACCGGTAATCTGCAGGACTCTCCGTTCATATGAATCAAGTGCATAAAGAAACTTTGGCAAGTGTCGACAACTCTCTTCCAAATAGACAGGATCTCGAGGTCGAAATTTTTGGTATGGAAGGTATTCCTGAGGATGTGGTTCAAGCACATAATCAGCGCATAATTGCA